TTCAAGAAATAGACCCTTAAAATAATTTTCATTATTTTCAAAAACTGTTATTGAATAAAAAATTCTCATAAAACATTATTAGAAACTTTAAATAACCAATTCTTAAGAAATGAAACTTTAGAAAAGTATCAATTTAAAGAATATTTTGAAGAAATAAATGAATTTAAAAAACCAGATTTTTGCCACTTTTGTTGTCAATTCTCAAGAAATGCAATTTCTTAGAAAAAAAAGAAAATTTTTTCGAAATATCGCAGATTTTGTCAAATTCATTCTAAAACTTACTGCAGAAGTCTAATCATTTAAAAAAAATGTTTTTCTTTTAATATAATTCTAGCTTTAATTTAAAAAATTTCATTTGTTTCTCTGTAAATCATCAAGCTAAAATTTGCTCACTTTCAAATAGGCAAAACCTTCCCTGGGGTCATGTGAAGTCCCAGAAAAAGAAAAAGAAATTTTTGTTGAACTTACACTGCATGAGTCTAATCCTTGTTTACCAGCGCAGAGCATGTGAGGTTCAATCCCTCCCGGAGCAGCGTTACCATAAGTCTCCTTGCACTCAGCATTATTCCAAATCTTAGCGGTCATCTCCTAATATTAAATATAGGGTTTGGAACTCAATTTTTTAGTTATTTTCTAGAGCTGGACATCGGTTTTTCTAAGTAAGCAAACATCGAAAAAATTATTATTAATTTTCGACGGACAAACGAAATAGATTGATCATAAAAATGAAGAAAATATTTGTTTTTGTATTATCAACGAAAATGATCATATCTTTTTCTGTAATTCAACGAAAAATCATATTTTTTTCTATAATATCAACGAAAAATCATAAAATTTTCCTTAATATTGTGGAAGACGATGCCTGGCCGCGTTAAACTAGTTCCACAAGATTCAACAGAATGAGATAGAACGGATACGGGGCATAGTACTGATATGATCTCTACAGTCTACACATGCGATATCGATATTGACTCTAGTTCTGAACCCTCTAGTAATAAGTTATAAGAAATATATATACTGGAAGTTATTTATGCGTTCTAACCTAATCAACGAAAAATAATATTTTTTTCTGTAATATCAACGAAAAATCATATTTTTGTTCTGTAATATCAACGAAAATTCATATTTTTTTTCTGTAATATCAACAAAAAATCATACTGAATTTTTAGATTGTTTAGGTTGGATCAAACCTGCCCTTCCCTAGTTAATTACTTAGTTTTTTATGAAAAAATACCAATTTACCATTATTGAGAGAACAATTTGAAATATGTAAATAGATATTTTGATGTTTGTGGATTGTATTGAAAACCAAAATATATTTACAATACAATATCAAGTTAGAATTGATCTCATAGTGTTGCAGTTAAACAATAAAAAGGATTAAAAGAATCTCGGGGAATCTTTTCTAGTAATTAAATAAGTCTGCTTAATAAGAAACAAGGTTTAGACACAGGTAAAGTATTTAGAAAAATATTATTTTACCTGAAGTATATCAGGTTGAGGTCCATTTTCTCTCAAGCTGCCCCAGCCCACAACTGTAGCTGTGCGGTCAGCGTAGAGTTCATGACCGGTAGGAAGGCAAACAGGCCGGGCACGGGTAAAGGTTGAGGGCACAGGGTCAGCCATGGTTAAGATGGCAACATCCTTATGCTATAAACAGAAAAAGTTAGAATCCATTTGTCAATGTTAACACAAAACCAAATCCATTCTATCTATATATAAATTTAGCTTGTCTGGGTGTCTGTTTGTTTGTATCCAATAAACGTAAAAACGACTGAACCGATCAGGAGAAAATTTTGTGTGGGACTTCACGTGGCCCCAGGAAAGGTTTATAACCAATCAGACATTAAATATGTAATCTTAAAATATTTTTATCTAAAATTATTTAATTTTGTAAAATTTTGAAAATGCGCGAAAAAATATTATGAAATCCGCAAATTTAAAAAAAAATGTTATACTGTACAAAGAGAAGATGCTCACAGATAAAGCTACAATTAAAAGTTGAAAAAGAAGATGGGCGCGAAGCGCCCTAAATGCCTATTTTATTAAAAACAGAATTGCTTGAATTAAAAGGACTGTTACTGTAGAGGTCTAGTGAACCTCAATTCAAAATAAACTCTAGAAACCTCTATCAGAGTAGAAATGTAGAAGACATTGTCAATTTTAGACAAAAAATATGAATTATCCTTGATTAAACACATACTTGAAAGGGGCCTTTGGGAATCGGGAATGCCGCTTTATAAAAATCGTCTACCCTTTAAGAAAAATTCTTACTAAGGTTTGTTGGGAGAAATCTTTGTGTCGAACAACTCTGGAAACCTTGCTCTCAAAAATAGTGTCTCCTCCAGATTTGATTTTATGTTCTCCAAGCCTGATCTTTAGGTTGGCCACGTCGTATCTTGACATACTGAAAATAAGTTTTTTTTCTTCGTCAATATTTTTGATGTTGTTCTTGTTCTTTGAAGATAAAAAGTGATGTACAATAAGTTTGGTTTTGAGGTTTTTTTTTAATTTTAAATGTTTCCACAAAAAAAAATTATGCAAAAAAACCAAAAAATAACATGCTAAAATAATCATTTTTTTTGGTTCGTTTTAGTTTTTAAAACTTACTGAGCGACACAATGAGCAGCTGTTAAAATGTGTTTATCATCAATTAGAGATCCACCGCAGAACTGTCGGCCATTGTTCATTAGAGCAGCAATCCACGGCCATTCATTATCCTCTGCATCATTCCCGTTCACAATTCTAGAAACAGAGATATTATCATTCCCGTTCACAATTCTAGAAAAAGAGATATTAGCATTCCCGTTCTTAATTCTAGAAACAGAGACATTATCATTCCCGTTCACAATTCTGGAAACAGAGATATTATCATTCCCGTTCACAGTTCTAGAAACAGATATTATCATTCCCGTTCACAATTCTAGAAACAGATATTATCATTCCCGTTCACAATTCTAGAAACAGATATTATAATTCCCGTTCACAATTCTAGAAACAGAGATATTATAAATCCCGTTAACAATTCTAGAAACAGATATTATCATTCGCGTTCACAATTCTAGAAACAGAGATATTATCATTCCCGTTCACAATTCTAGAAACAGAGATATTATCATTCGCGTTCACAATTCTAGAAACAGAGATATTATCATTCCCGTTCACAATTCTAGAAACAGAGATATTATCATTCCCGTTCACAATTCTAGAAACAGAGATATTATCCTTCCCGTTCACAATTCTAGAAACAGCTATTATTATTCCCGTTCACAATTCTAGAAACAGAGATATTAATTCCCGTTCACAATTCTAGAACCAGATATTATCATTCCCGTTCACAATTCTAGAAACAGAGATATTATCATTCCTGTTCACAATTCTAGCAACATCTATTTTTATTCCCGTTCACAATTCTAGAAACAGATATTATCATTCCCGTTCACAATTCTAGAAACAGATATTATCATTCCCGTTCATAATTCTAGAAACAGGTGCTATCATTCCTGTTGACAATTCTAGAAACAGAGATATTCTCAACTATCATTCCCGTTCATTAACTTTATTTTTTTATGTGGATTTTTTTTGTAAAATGTAATGTGTGCATTAAACTTAAATAAAAAAATTATATTTGCATAGTTATTATCATCTGTTATGCACTTCAATATTTAAACATCAAAAAGATTTTTTTTATCATTTATTGACCTATATGAATTAAATTAAAATGTATGTTTAAATCTTACTTTGAGCAACTTCCATTGCAGGTGACTCTCTCCACTTCCTCTGCTACGCTGCCATTCTGAGCATACCGGATAACAGGATACTTTCCAACCCCGCATCCTTAAATGTTATTTGCCTATTCTCAACCTTATGCCATTTGTAATGGATGATAATTTTCTTAGGTGTTCATTTTACACAAAATTTTAGGAAGTTTTACATTTACTTCTCTGTTGGTTATTTTTTTAATTCAAATTTTAAATTTTAAAAAAATTGAAAATAAATAACATCATCATATGAGCTGTTAAAATGGCGAACAAATGAGTTGTAGAAAGCTGAATGGGCCTTTTTTATCTCTATCATCATCTGATACCTGCAATTGGGGGAGCTGGCTCGACTTCAGGTTTGACTCCAACGTCAGTAACAACTGCATCGCCGGAAGGGCTTGCTTCAGATCCAGAAGAAGGTCCCTCTGCAATCCCCGCTCCAGCTCCAGGAGCTCCCGGGAACTGACCACCAGCACCAGGTTCTCCGGGGAATTGTCCGCCGGCACCGGGCCCTCCGGGAAATTGACCACCTCCACCTGGGGCTCCAGGAAATTGACCGCCTCCACCAGGTGCTCCGGGGAACTGTCCACCTCCACCTGGGGCTCCAGGATATTGACCACCAGGAAACTGACCTCCAGGAAATTGAACGCCAGGGCCTCCTGGATATTGAGCACCACCTGGATATCCAGAGGGCCATCCAATTATGCCAGGAATCTGATACTGGGTACACATTGCCATCCTGAAAAATACCATCAAGATTTGCCTCACTTGGATTTAAAATAAATTTCGCAATTTCTACTTACTGTCCATTAGCTGTACGGCAAATTGCTTGAACGAAGGGGGAAGAGCGAAGACCTTGTGTACTAGCAGGGTAGACGGGGAAACCGGTTCCTGATTGTTCAGCCACTGCAGGGAAACCAGGGAAACCAGTTCCAGGCTGTACTGCCACAAGGGGGTAGCCTGTACTTCCGCTTGCAAATGGCGCCCAAAACTGACGACCAGTCCTACTACCGGCTGCTGCATAGAAAAGGTCAATTATATGCTTAGCCGTGAAACATTTTGAGATAATTAAAGGTCAACAGGGAAATTTCATGAGAAGAAGGAGCTGTTGAAATTTGTAATTTTCATATTTTTGAGAGAAAAAATAATTCAACTGCTGTTAAAAAGATTAGCAAGATGTCAAATGCATTAGTCAGTGATTAGTCCAGGTGGAGTTTTAGTGAAATAAAAACAGGAAACTGCTGTAAAAGGTATTTTATTGAACTATGGCATAAAAACTTTATGAAAAAGTTACTCAAAAGCATTAATACATTCATCAGTCTAGCACAATAAACAACTTAAAAAATTGGCACATACATAAATAAACTATTTTCTTAAATAATACCAAAAACAAAAATAAGTTTGTGTGGGGAAAATGTAACTAAAGATTAAACTAAAAAACAACAAAGATATTTTATAATTACACCCAGACTCAAGATGAAAACAAATGCATTACTTGATTATTTTCAATCTTGATAAAATGGGTTAATTCTGGTGATCAGAGAATTGTACAAAGATTCTATTTAAAAAACGTGCACTGCTTGAACACTGTACACTGTACAGCTTGCACTGCTTATACACTGTACAGCTTGGACTTCTTGTACAGTTTACAGCTTCCACTGCATGTACAGTTTGTACTGCTTGTACAGTTTGTACTGCTTGTACAGTTTGTACTGCTTGTACAGTTTGTACTGCTTGTACAGTTTGAACTGCTTGTACAGCTTGCACTGCCTTTACAGTTTGTACTGCTTGTACAGTTTGTACTGCTTGTACAAATTGTGCTGCTTGTAAAATTTATGCTGCTTGTACAGTTTGTACTGCTTGTACAGTTTGTACTGCTTGTACAGTTTGTACTGCTTGTACAAATTGTGCTGCTTGTACAATTTATACTGCTTGTACAGTTTGTACTAGTAGTCCGTGACTATCCTAGATATCCAATCTCTCATCTCTGTAACCCTGGTATATACTCCAGGATACTGAGCCTTGGCGCAACCTATTCCCCAGGATACTATTCCTATCTGGGTACATTGTCCACCATAGGGACAGCTGAACAGGGGACCACCACTGTCTCCCTAAAAACATTTTAATCATTTTCAATTTTCGGATTTTACGTGATAATACGGTAAGACTCATAAAACTGTGGAAGGTGAAGACGACCAGTAGACTAAAGACATGCAACACAGCAATTGTGTTTAATGTACTACAGACAGACCCATTCTACTTAATATTGTGTTTAATGTACTACACACAGACCCATTTTATTTAATATCGTGTTTAATGTACTACACACAGACCCATTTTTCTTAATATTGTGTTTAATGTACTGCAAACAGACCCATTTTACTTAATATTGTGCTTAATGTACTGCACACAGGCCCATTTTACTTAACATTGTGTTTAATGTACTGCACACAGACCCATTTTACTTAAAATTGTGTTTAATGTACTACACACAGACCCATTTTATTTAATATCGTGTTTAATGTACTGCACGCAGACCCATTTTACTTAATAATGTGCTTAACCTACTGCACACAGACCCATTTTACTTAATATTGTGCTTAATCTACTGCACACTGACCCATTTTACTTAATATTGTGCTTAATCTACTGCACACAGACCCATTTTACTTAATATTGTGTTTAATGTACTGCACACAGACCCATTTTATTTAATTACGTGTTTAATGTACTACACACAGACCCATTTTATTTAATATCGTGTTTAATGTACTGCACGCAGACCCATTTTACTTAATATTGTGCTTAATCTACTGCACACTGCCCCATTTTACTTAATATTGTGTTTAATTTACTACACACAGACCCATTTTACTTAATATTGTGTTTAATGTACTGCACACAGACCCATTTTACTTAATATTGTGCTTAATGTACTGCACACAGACCCATTTTACTTAATATTGTGTTTAATGTACTACACACAGACCCATTTTACTTAATATTGTGTTTAATGTACTACACACAGACCCATTTTACTTAATATTGTGTTTAATTTACTGCACACAGACCCATTTTACTTAACATTGTGCTTAACCTACTGCACACAGACCCAATTACTTAATAAGTTCCAAGCTACTGGTTAAATTAATAATTTTATAACAACATATAAAACTCTACGCTTGCTTAATGCATGTTAGAACGAACGTTTTTTTGTATCGTTTACATTTTTTTTAAGGATAAAGATAGGGCAATGTGAAATAATAACTATTTATAACACTGTTATTTTGGTTCGCAGTGTTACAAAGTTTTTGTTATAAACTTTCTCTTAATATTAGGTTTATAGATAATTTTATGAAACGTTTGTGTACTTATTTCAATGGCTATTTCTAGATCAAATAAGTTTTGAAACAAACCAGAAGTCAAAACATAAAGTTTATTTTAATTTTATTTTCATTTCAGTTGAAAAAAATATTTAGGAAATATCCTTAAATTTTTTGCTTGTACAGCTATAAATTTAACTTTATGGCATAATGATTACTTTATAGCACTTTAATTATGAAATTCACGATGAAGTGAGGAAGATAAAGTGCACAATGGTTTCATAAAAACAAAGAAAATAGTTTTAAAATCTTAGAAGTTTTAATAAATTTTTTAAACTTACACTGCATGAGTCCTGCTCCGGCAGGCTGGCACATAACATCTCTTTGGTTATACCACCTGGAGCAGAGGAGCCATAACTGTTCTTACATCTTTCATTAGACCAAACCTCAACCTCTACCTAGAGCACGGTAAAATTTAATATAACTGGCCTCAAACTCGAGTTTTTAAATTCCAATTTCTTCACAGTAAAGATGGTATAAATCTTTGATATCTAAAACTTGAACCATTTTATCTAGCTAGCAGAATTGTAGCTTAATTTCTTTCAACAACTTTTTTATCTTTTTGGAATTATCACAAATTTATTTTTTTTTGAAAAAAATATTTTTGCAATTGGAAACTTTAGCAAAGAACTGCAATATAAACCGAGTTAAATTATACACACAATAATTAAAAAAGTTCCCAGGAAGGATTACAATTTTCCCTTGCTGTAGAATGAAAGATGTTCAGAGGGTCACACTTTTTGGATATTGCTTAGCTTTAGCGCCCTAAAACTCACTTAACCGTTAAATCCATAAGAACTAATAACTAATAACAATCTGGTTGCTGATTGGTTGACCATTTTTATATTAAAGCTCTGATTGTTTGAATTCCAAAGAATACCACCGATGACAGCGGGCAAATGACCTCTGAAATAGCCATTAACGGGATAAGACATTAAAGACTCAAAAGTTTCGACCTTTGGTCTGTTTATTACCTTTGGTCTGTTTATTACCTTTGGTCTGTTTATTACCTTGTTCAAACTGGCAGGTTGAGTTCCACCTTCAGAAAGAGTACCCCATCCAGCAACGGAGACCCTGATTAGATTAGAAGATTATTTCATAGTGTGTGCGCAGATATTTTGTTTCGCCGCAAATTCCGCATTTTTGCGTAATTCCGTGCAAAAGTTTGCGGGACGTACAAGAACATTTGCGAATTTTAAAGTGAAAGTTTGCTTCTGCTGGAAACCCAAGCCGGAACCCAGCAAGCAGTGATATTAAAAAATCACGTAAATAAAACGAGAAAATTTTTATTTTATTTTTATATTTTAACAGATAAAAAAAAGAAATTCAAAATTCCAGATCCCATTTTCTGAGAACTCTTATATTTTCTTTTTAAAGAGGATAAAAGAAGGGTTTAAAAGTTCAGCAAACTATTCAGTATGAGTGCACTGATCAATTCGGGAAAAGCTCGAGGCAAATGAATAAGGGATTCAAAAAGTGAGTTTCTCAAAACCACTTTCCCCCCCTCCCCTCCTCCCCCCTTCCAAAACAACCCACACAACCCAAGATAGGAGTCTTTGCAAAAAAATGTTCTAACCCCTATATCTTTGCAATCCAATGTCGTCGACATTAGATATTTCTTACTGTGAATTTTGTTAGATCAAATAGTTTATTCAGATTGGAAAGAAAAAGTGATTAGAAAATTTTAGTTTGTCCATTCTTTTTATCATTTTCTTTTCTCTGGATTATAAATAAGTTTTCATTTTATTTTTAACAAATATATCTAATATCTATGCAAAAGCTCATAAAAAAACTCATTAAATCTTGTATTTTCTGCATGCAAATTGTTTTATTATAATTTTTTAAAAATATCAATGCTTTTAAATTTTCTATACATGCCTGAAAATCCCGATTTAGAACTAATCGACTGTACAGGTAACCAAGACGATTTTAGGCTAATTGTTTTAGTTTCTGCATTCAATTTTGTATTTTAATGGTTTACTAAATAATGAAGCACAGAATTGAGCCAGTTTAAGTGTGCAAGCAACCCTACATGTAGGGAAAGAGATTAAACAAATTCCGTAACAGTCGTCTCTGAAGTCTCATCCTGTGTGGGTAGCATTTCGTAGATGTAACATTTTTTTATTGGGGGGGGGTGTGAAGGCGTTTAGCTTTTTAAAATCTACCTTTGGTTTACAAAACTGTTTGTTCCTGCTGCTAGGCAAATTGGTTGAATAGTTGGTGTGTATTCTACATCTTCTTCCAGGGTCAAAATTGCAACATCATTGTGCTAAAATAATCAAAATTGCAACATCATTGTGCATAAAATAGTTGGAATTTCAACATCATTGTGCTAAAATATTTATAACTGTAACATCATTGTGCTAAAAATTTATAACTGCAACATCATTGTGCTGAAATAATTAAAATTGTAACATTATTGTGCTAAAATAATTAAAATTGCAACATCATTGTGCTAAAATAATCAAAATTGCAACATCATTGTGCTAAAATAATCAAAATTGCAACATCAATGTGCTAAAATAATCAAAATTGCAACATCATTGTCCTAAAATAATCAAAATTGCAACATCATTGTGCTAAAATAATCAAAATTGAATCATCATTGTGCTAAAATAATCAAAATTGCAACATTATTGTGCTAAAATAATCAAAATTGCAACATTATTGTCCTGAAATATTAAATTTGCTAAAATATTCTGCTAAAATAGTTAGCATCTTTTTTGTGCTAAAATGGTCAAAATTGTATCATCATTGTGCTTAAATAGTTAGAATTGCAACATCATTGCGCTAAAATATTTATAACTGCAACATTATTGTGCTAAAATAGTTAGAATTGCGACATCATTGCGCTAAAATATCCAAAATTGCAACATTGTTGTGCTATACAAATAGTTAAAATTTCAATATGATCGTGCTGAAATAGTTAGAATTGCAACATCATTGTGCTAAAATAATTGGAATTGCAACATTATAGTTCTAAAATAGTTAGAATTGCAACATTGTTGTCCTAAAATAGTTGAAATTTCAACAACATTGAGTTAAAAATGTTTAAAATTGCAATATAATTGTGGAAAAACAGTTGCAACATCATTGTGCTGAAATAGTTGAAATTGCAACATCGTTCATTGCAATTTTGTTGCACTTTAAAGTTAAAATTGCAACATAATCTTGTAAAATGTATAAAGTTGCAACATCATTGTGCAAAAATAGTTAAAACTGCAACATCTTTGTTCTAAAATAGTTTTTTAAAAATATCATCAGAAAAAACATTTTCAAAACTTTTTGCAGACGTGAGTTTGAGAATTTTGCAATGTATTCTGAGACGGACTCTAAGAACAATTAGTTTATCAATTTGCATCAGATTGGGGACAACTTTTGAACATAAATGATATATATAGGACTAATTTTAAATCTTAAAAAAATTTTAAGATATAAATATAAATGTCAAGGGTATAAGTGGCATCTGAAATTTTCCAGTGGGTGTAGGAAAGATTTCCCTTCCCCCCCATGTTTTGCATTACAAAGTCTTAAAAATTCTAAAAATTTTAACAAATTTTAGCCACTTTTCATTGTTACCTTGTAAAATAATTTTTATAAGTGAATTACCAATGTGCTTGATGAAAATCCAATATGGCGGATAACGCGCTTGACTCTCTTCTCCACGCGACCTGCCGCGGAGTTGGATTTGATGTTATGATCTCCCAGGCGCACGCGCAGATGCTGCACATCGTTCTTACTCAAACTAAAGAAAGACTTGATAAATTGAAGCTGCATGCACGTAAAAAGAACTCCTCTGATTGAAAATTTAATGAGAATAATAAAAAGTTTTTAAATTTTTATGAAACCGTATAAATCTGCTTTTTTCATGCGTAAATTCAAAACTGTTGGAAATATGAGGTCACAATACAAAGTTTCACATATTTTAGCTGAACAAAAAAACTGGTTAGAAAATTATCTGAAATTTTGATAAAAATTAAAAACTCTCATTATCTAAATTTTTCTATTGATTTTAAAAAACTGTAATATTTTTAAATAAAACAAAAAAGATATTCTCTTTTTATGAATTTGCAAATCAAACAAATGTAAAAATTATATTTGATGTTAAATATTTGCATTCCTTCTTTTGATAAAATTATTTTCATATCTGCAACAGTCTGAGTATTTTCAGTATATCTTCTATATAATAATAAAAAAACATTTAAATATATGTTGCAGCCGGCTGGACTGAATGGGCTGACGTTTTTTGTGGGGGGGTGTTTTAGGTTAAAAAATCGATATTTTATTCAAAACTTATTACCATTATTATTATTATTTTTATTATTATTTATTATTATTATCATTTTTATTGTTGTTATTATTATTTTTATTACTATTCTTACTATTATTATTATTAATAATTAAATACTTACTGAGCCACACAATGAGCCGCCGTAAGAATATGATTAGCGTCAATAAGAGATCCACCACAAAACTGTCTGTTTCTGTTCATGAGAGCCGCCTAAAAAAAAAAAAATATTTTTACACCCTCCATTTTAGATAAAAGTACTTAATAATGTGAAAGATATTATGCAATGTTACTTTTGAAGAGAACACACAATTGAAAATAATCAGTTTTCAAAGTTATATACATGGATTTCTTTTTCATACTTGACAAGACAAAGCATTTAAGGATTGCATTGTGAATCAGGCATTATCCTCTTTGCATAGAGGGTCACTTAAAATTAAGCTCACAGTCCCCTTAAATAGGATTTTATGTTATAAAACGGCCATATTGTTTTTCTCAATTTTCGCGGAATTCCAAAGATTATGGTTAATCAGATTGAATAACCGTAATAGCATAGTATTTGTATAATTGTCTCTTATTTTTTTGGAATTCTTTTGAGTAAATTTTACTGAAAAGTTTGGATTATTTAGATCGTTTTTACCCATCTTTCTAACTTTAAATATTTATCGAATTTGAAATGTAAAAGAATATCAAAATTTTAAAGATTGGAAAGTTTTCTTTGAACTTTTCTGCAGCAAAGAGCATAGTTAAAAGATTTTTAAATAAATATCAATTCGTTTTTATATTGGAATTTTAGCCTTAAAATATAATCAAAAACGTTCTCTATAAAAGTCAACCAACTTATAAAAAAACAAAACAGATTTAGAATCAAATTAAAACATTCCCGTTGTTCTACTGAGTTCCCATACTCAAAATTTGAGGCAACTCGATCAAGGGGTTCATGAGTTATGATCAGACTTACAAACAAACAAACAAACAGAGATTACTACTTTATATACATAGAAACTAGCTTTGTCTGAAGACTTTCCTTAAAAAATTCAACCAACTCAGTCTAGAGTTATCGAACTAAGTCGAGTTTCCAATTGGTTAAAATCATTGTTAAGCTAAGAAATTGAGTTCTTGACATTTAAAAATCTTTAGAATAACATCTCTCGCTGACTTCAAAATGGAACCATGAACTTTCTCAAAGGTTGAACTAAAATACTGTATACTATCCCCGCATACCTACCCTTCCCTCCTTCTAGCATACCCCCCCCCCCCTTTATAGCTTAATCCCTTAACAGGCTGTGATTAAATTTTTTTTAATGCATTGGTTAAAAAGTGCGGTCCGTGTAAAAAGAAATTTAAAATAGCCCATAACTTTTTTCGTGACTCAGGCTACAGAAATAAAAACTACATTTTTGAAAGCCCTTGAAAATGGATGTAGCAACATGTGTTACATCTTAACATTTGTCAAAAACAATAAAAAATTTTTTTTACATTGACTTACAACTACAAGACACCGGAATTGAATCAAAAAGTAAATTAATCAAATATCTTCTATAGAATTCCAGTGAAGAAATCTTTCTGAAATCTAACCTTGCATCAGTGAAGGTATCTTCCAAAAATATAACCCTAACTCAGTGAAGGTATCTTCCTAAAATCTAACCATTAATCAGTGAAGGTATCTTCCTAAAATCTNTCTTCCTAAACTCTAACCCTGAATCAGTGAAAGAACTTACCATAAATGGATACTCATGAGGAACAGCTTCAGCTCCATTTACAATATAGAACTGTGCTCCAGTCTTATCATACAGAGTTACAGAGGGTTGAGGAGTCCTGAAATATACGAGATGTAACTTTATAATCCCTTGGGAATATTTAATAAAATTTTGTGAACTTTCGATAAAAATACAATTTTTTTGCGTTTTTTTATTTTATCAATAATTTTATTTTAGCTAAAGTTTGACCAATTCTACAGCAAACTGGACAAAAGTTTAAAGTTGCGACTTGGAGACTTTTGATTTATTCACAGGTTGAAAGACAAGCGTTACTTAATCGGTTGCATAATAGAAATTCAAAACATTTCTTTCTTCTCAAGAACTTTTTAATTAAAGGAGTTATGAGTAAAAATTTACTTTATTTAAACGTAAACGCAAAAATATCCTTTTTTAAATGACCATTGACCAATAGAAACACTTTGAACTTTCATGGTTTGAAGAATTTATATGGATTAGTAAATCAAATAGATAATATTGGAGATATCTTGAGTATATTTATTTAATCTAAAACCATCTTCAACTTTCCATCTTTCATTTTTATTCAATTTTTATCTATTTTTTTTAAATAGATTATATTGAGAATCAGATGCAGCAAAAAAAACTTGATTAAAAAAACATATTTTTCTTTAAATTTAAAGTTTTATAAATTGTTATTCAGGTTTACTCACAAAGGATGAAACCTTGATTTTTGGGTTTTGCTCTCAATTGAGTATTTTAATGGTTTAATAAATGATTAAGCACAGACATAAACCAGTTTTGGCCTACAAGAACTCTGAATGCAAGGAAACGGACTAAAAAAAATCCGTACAATCGTCTCAGAAGTCTCATTCTTTGTGGGTAACCCTGTATATTCTTATATTCTAACTATTAAAATTTTGACAGTATCTCCTTTGATCTGAATTATTATCTTTTCTTTACTTGATATGGCTTTACGGCTTTTAGAATTAATTTGTAACTTTTTACTTGCTATAGCTTTACGGCTTTTAGAATTAATTTGTAACTTTTTACTTGCTATAACTTTACAGCTTTTAGAATTAATTTGTAACTTTTTACTTGCTATAGCTTTACGGCTTTTAGAATTAATTTGTAACTTTTTACTTGCTATAGCTTTATGGCTTTTAGAATTAATTTGTAACTTTTTACTTGCTATAGCTTTACAGCTTTTAGAATTAATTTGTAACTTTTGGTTTTCTTCCAAGTTTGTTTTTTCTTTATTTTTTAGAAAACCCTAAAGGTGTCGACTGTACTTTAGACTCAAACTATGATTTAAAATAGTCCAATGAACATGAAACCCATGCAGGCTGCAGTGTATATCAAATACAGGGTTTACAGACCCATTTCACTGTGGAAGCTAATTTTCAAGTTACTTGTAATTCTTTTTGTTTTATAACAGCATGCAATACACATCGCTTAAATGCCTTCTTCCAATTTATATTGGGCTTGCTAGACACAGCCCGTCAATTCAAGTATTTTGTTTTTATAGACGTACATGGTGTCCCGATGGCAGTAAACGTGACAGTTGAAATACAGCTTCAGAATAATTCTTGAAATTTGACTTATAAATCTTATCCTTTTTATGACACACAATTTATATAACAATGAAAGATGCGAGTCGACCTTCAAGACATCTCTCACTGTCATGTTTAATGGAAACCCCTGTACAAACCTTTCAAGACATCTCTCACTGTCATGTTTAATGGAAAACCCTGTACAAACCCTTCAAGACATCTCTCACTGTCATGTTTAATGGAAACCCTTTACAAACCCATCAAGACATCTTTCACTGTCATGTTTATTGGAAACCCCTGTACAAACCCTTCAAGACATCTATCACTGTCAAGTTTAATGGAAACCCTGTACTAACCCATCAAGACATCTTTCACTGTCATGTTTAATGGAAACCCCTGTACAAACCCTTCAAGACATCTCTCACTGTCATGTTTAATGAAAACCCTGTACAAACCCTTCAAGACATCTCTCACTGTCATGGTAGATGGAAACCCCTGTACAAACCCTTCGAGACATCTCTCACTGTCATGTTAGATGGAAACCCCTGTACAAATAGTGGAAGATTTTTACCTAAAGCCACAGTTTCCTGCGAGTGCAAACTCAATTGGGAATTCTCCGACGATGGCATCGTTATTCTCATCAATAAATTTAGTTTCATCATTGTCGTCTTCATTTTCTTCTGTAACTGAACGCGGCGTGGAGTCGCAGCAAACACCGAAAACCTAAACGTACGTTATTTTATATGTAATTTTTAACAATAATTCTAAATTTTGCAATACAATACAAAAACCATGTATCGTTTAGAAATGTAAAGCATTTATTGTGAACCATAGCTATAATAGCATTGAGAATTCAATAGATTTGCTGAGAAACTGACTCTTAACCGTCCGATGAACCGTCCCACTCCCCCGGGCCTTTATAATTTAAAACCGGTCGTTATAATGTTCCAAGCTAAAAGTCAAGATACATTGAACCTCTTTTTAAACCAGTATTTTGGAAATGTCCTAAAGCTGCTTNGTTCTACTGATTAGGAAAGGGTTGCTCTCCAACTGTTTCTTGTTGAAAATCAATTATAAAACGGCACCGTCAAACTGTCACCAAAATGTCACGTGACCCTTCATTTGAAGAGTAGCATGACTATTGACCGTATCCTTGTTGTTTTTTTTTATGTAAATTTTGTAATTTTCAGTTGTTCCCTCTTTATAAAAATGACTTGCAACTTAAAGCAGCAGAGAAAAATAAGAAAATAAAAAATGATGAATAGTAAAAAGACATTCAGCAATCTTTCAGTGTATTTGATGCTGTTACAAAGCAAATAGTTTCACTAGTGTGCGTTATTAAATCCCTAAATGGTCAAATTAAATGAGTCTGTTTACACTGCACATTGCTGTGTCTCGTGTTCATTCGACTTGAGTCTGAAAGTCGTCTTCCTAGTCCAGAGTTTTCTGGTTCTTACTGTCAGAAACCTTAAAGAAAACCACAAAACTAAGTTAGAAGAAGCGCTATAAAAAGTGCACTGTTAACCCTGAAGCAAATCACGAAAAGAAAATAATGATAATGATTCCTATCAAAGGGCCTTAAGTTAGAGTTGGGAATTGTTTTTAATTTTTCAAGGTATTTACTTTTAAAGATTCCACAATAACCTGCGATATGTATTTTTAAAATTGTCTTTAAGTTTGCTGTTTTTTACATTTTACTATGAAAATTAGGACTTTACCCAACCACGACAAAATAAAACTATTGAAGGGATTGGAAGCGTAATTTCAACTAACCTCCCATGCATAAATGTCAACGGTAACTATACCTTTATCTGATCAAAAGTGTGGAATGTCTTGTCGTTTTTGTAGACTTAAAAGTGTTAAATTCTGATAATTCCTATATGTAGAAATGCACAATTGTCACTTCAGTAGAGAAACCACAATTGAAAATAATCAATTCTCAAAATTATAAGCATGGATATCTAATTCATACTTGATAAGACAAAGCTTTCAAGGGTACCGTTGTGAATCGTGAATTGCCATCTGTGCATGCAGGGTTACTTTTAGCCAAACAAATGTTTTAAAATTAATGAAAAGCCGTGCCCATGCCTATCCTTAGTGGCCGGGCCTAAGGAAAATGGGCCTTCATAGGTTTTTAATATTTTCGGGGCTTAATTAAAGAGAAACCACAGACAACAGGATTCCCGGCCCAATCATAAAAAATGTTTAAATTTCATGTTTTTTATAGATACAGGACAAGATTTGAATGCCTCAGGCATTTGATAATCAGGCTGAAATACAGTCGTGTGGACTAGATAAGATTNGCCAAGATGTAGAATTTTGATCATTTACATTGAATTAAGTAGATTGTTCCAATATGTACATATGTTATTTTGTTTTTGCTCCATGATCGCAGCTAGTTTCTGAGCGCTAGTGTGTACAATTCACTATAGTTTCAGTAGAAGTAAATATTTCCATTTACTGATAGCGCCGATTGAAGGATTCATAACTCTGATTGGATAATGAGATAGATAGAAAATAGATGTTACCGCCTTACTATTTTTATTGGTTCAGAATAGACAACACACACATGACTGAACCGTGATTGGATCAAGCGCTAATGGACTCGGCAAACAGGAGTGACAATGAAATTAAAAACCGCATATTTATTGAAATGGATAGTCTGGGAACATACTGTATTAATGTACTGTACTGCATATAATTTGTGAACATTTACATGATTTGTACACTTCGAACTCCCTTTCAGGCTGAAAGGGACTGACAAATTCATACCGAGGGATTGTCTAAATTCCTCTCTAATATATATTCTATTCTCTTCATCATCTCTATTTTGAAATAGTTAATCAATCCCATAAATTCTAGTTAATCCCCTTATAGCCTTCATAAACTAGAATCTTTGATAATTAATTCTATTAATTATCCTATAATGTTATAATATGATGTTTTTATCAAGCTTTTTATCAACGCCAATTAGGAAGTTTTAAGAATCTTTAAAAAATAAAATGACGAGAAATACTTGAATTACGTAGTAGACCTAGTTTTAACATGGCTTAGTGTTAAACACTTTATTAACAGCGCTAGAATTTTGAACGATTATATAAAAATGACGAGAAATAGTTGAATTACGTAGTAGACCTAGTTTATTCACATCTCTTAAACTTAAAGGGACAGTAAGCATAATTTTAATTGTTGCCTTCCGTTGAAAGAAATGGATCCCTGATTCGCAATGGTTCCCTTTAAACTCTTGACACACTTTTCTTTAATAATAATCTACAGAAAAGTTGGTTGGTTGGTATTTTATATAGCACTTACTGGGACTGTAAAGTGAAAATGTAAGGGGAGTATAGGCTGAAACCTAAACACTTATAGAGACCCATAAGAGTTCTATCTGATGTTCACATTTTGATAAATTAATTTATCTAACTTTTTGAAATGACTGTTTCTTTAGTATTTTCATATCAAAATCTTCAAAAAGGTTAAACTCGCGACACGTTAAATTCGGTCCGGTCCTCATACCTGGCTGCCCTCGGGTGACCGATAGCTGCATGTATCATAGTGACCCATGACCCAGGTATCCCTCCAGCTGAGATTAAAGATCTTGAAGTAAGGATAGCACTCGTTCAAGGATTTACACCGGCCAACACTAAATATAAAACAGTTTAACGGGACTATTCAAGGATTTACACCGGCCAACACTAAATATAAAACAGTTTAACGGGACTATTCAAGGATTTACACCGGCCAACACTAAATATAAAGTAATTTAAAGTGACTGTTTAAGGATTTACACCGGCCAACACTAAATATAAAACAGTTTAAAGAGACTGTTCAAGGGTTTACACCGGCCAACACTAATATAAAACAGTTTAACGGGACTATTCAAGGATTTACACCGGCCAACACTAAATATAAAACAGTTTAACGGGACTATTCAAGGATTTACACCGGCTAACACTAAATATAAAACAGTTTAAAGAGACTGTTCAAGGGTTTACACCGGCCAACACTAAATATAAAGTAATTTAAAGGGACTGTTTAAGGATTTACACCGGCCAACACTAAATATAAAACAGTTTAAAGGGACTGTTCAAGGATTTACACCGGCCAACACTAAATATAAAGTAATTTAAAGGGACTGTTCAAGGATTTACACCGGCCAACACTAAATATAAAGTAATTTAAAAGGATTTACACCGGCCAACACTAAATATAAAGTAATTTAAAGGGACTGTTAAAAGATTTACACCAGCAAACACTAAATAAAAAAACAGTTTAAAGAGACTGTTCAAGGATTTACACCGGCCAACACTAAATATAAAAAAACAGTTTAAAGGGACTGTTCAAGGATTTACACCGGCCAACATTAAATATAAAACAGTTAAAAGGACTGTTCAATGATTTACACCGGCCAACACTAAATATAAAGTAATTTAAAGGGACTGTTAAAGGATTTACACCAGCCAACACTAAATATAAAACAGTTTAAAGGGACTGTTCAAGGATTTACGGCCAACACTAAATATAAAGTAATTTAAAGGGACTGTTAAAAGATTTACACCGGCCAACATTAAATATAAAACAGTTAAAAGGACTGTTCAAGGATTTACACCGGCCAACACTAAATATAAAACAGTTTAAAGAGACTGTTCAAGGGTTTACACCGGCCAACACTAAATATAAAAAAGTTAAAAGGGAAAGTTTAAACCAGCCAACACTAAAAAAACAATTTAAAGGGACTGTTCAAGGATTTACACCGGGCTACACTAAATATAAAACAGTTTAATGGGACTGTAGACATAATTTCTTGTGATTCGGTGATACAAATAAAGCATAAGAGATGCCATTAATTTTCAGAGAAAAACAGGGTTTTTTTCACATTTTTGCTCAAACCAAGGTTAACGGGTATAGGTATGACTCTATTTAAATGTTCTGTGCTTTTAAATGACGTTGAAAGACGCTTTTAAGATTGTCCATAAATTATAAAAAAGAACTAAAGAATATCAAAAATCAGATAGAATTCAAATTAAATGTAAGATTGCATGAAAAAGGAAAAAGAAATACAAAATAAAAAAGACACTCTTAAAATATTAGTTTATTTCTTTTACCTAATTAAAAATACACAAATGTTTAGTAAGATAATTACAACATTACAAGGCAAGAATTCTATTTAAATGATTGTATTACGGAAATAAAAATTCCAAAATTTATCAAATTGGACGATTTCATAAAATTGATAAGATTTGCTTATTTTTGGCCCCTGTGGCCCTAATTCTAAAAATTGGGTTATCTTGCGTATTTCCAAAAAGAAGAAAAAGAAGCAATTTTCTCAAAGAAAATTTAGTTTATCGATGCAAATGATTTTAATATCTTTCGAATCATTTTGGATTCCAGGAAGGTTATTTTATATAAAAATATGCAGAAAAATCCTAAATTTCAAAATTCAAAACGAATCATCATTTCTGCAGCTGCTTCATGTAAAGGAATTGAGTCCATGAAACAAAATCGAATTGTCTGATCCCTATATCTGTTCAATCTGCAATGTTGTAAACCTTTGATATTTCAAACTTATAATTTTTGATTTAACAGAGATCATAATTTGAAATATCTAAGGTCTACGACATAGGGTTGCAAAGAAAAAGGGATTTCAAAATTAGAGTTAATTGAGCAAAACCTCAAATTCCTTTATTTTTAACTCGGTTAAGAAAGGTCCCGTCCAAAATCTAAAATTTTTTTAGGAAATGTTCTGTGAGATCTCTTTTATTTTAGTGTATTTGCATGTCCATAGATTAATCAAAATAACAGATAAGACACTGCATGTCGTCTTTTCAAGATTCCGTTGGCTTGCGTTCACAATAACCCTGAGGCATGGCTGGTCAAATGAGTTGTGTTAACGTAGTTGGCATAGAACAACCACAGAGAGAGAGCCTGCACTCTACGCCAACTACACGCAACTCCTTTGAACTGCTGTGAACAGTCAACGGAATCTTGAAAAGACGACATCTTGTGTCATATCTGATTTTTAATCAATCTATGATCTCAGTGCTTTACAGAACCTATCAGAACAAGTGGATACAAATGTACGCTGAAGCAAATAGATCCAGAGCCCAAAACTTAAGACAGAGTATCGTTAGTGAAACCAGTTTTAAAACCCGGGTTTCACGAATGGGGTTAGGCACTTTTGTGATTATCAATTTTTTTGTAATGACATATTATTTCTTCAGGTTTTTTATATTATCCATTTTTTCGAATCTCTAAAATCAAAATCTACACAAAAGTAAAGACCCCAAAAAGGAAACTCGGGAGTTTTGTTCAACGATACTCTTTTAAATTTCGGCCTCAGAGTAAATCGGAAACTCTATCTTTGTCAAGGTTATAATGCAAGGAAAGTTAATTGCAGTTGCGTATACTGTGCGTTCATATTGAAACCGGAGGCCGAATTTAAAGAATTTGAGCCGCGGCTTAAATCCGTCAAAACCCGGTTTAAATTAAGCGCCGGCTTAAATCTTGAAACATTTGATACAATTTTAAGTGGAACCAACCATATTTAAGCCGCCGCTCAAATTCTTTAAATTCGGTCTCAGTTCTCTCTGGGCGGAATTTGTAAACAAGAATAGATGCATCAGTGTTCGATTAGTATTCGAGGAGCTTAAAAGCATTAAATTTTGATAATTTTGATAATTCACCTAATAGTTTCCTATGACCAGAATATTTCATTGATTTTTTTTTTTGTGAAAGATAGATCCCATGCCAGGGTTTGACATCCGTCTTGTGTTTACATTACTGCCCAGAGACAGTACACTGTAGTACAAAAGATGTGTACACCTCTAAATAACTTTCCTTGCATTAAAACCTTGATCTTTGCTAGCTAAAAAAATACTTACTTCCCCTCCTTATTAAGGCAAGGTTGTTGAAGGGGTGGGGTGAGGAGGGGGGAGAGTCCAAGATCATTTAATAAATTATCAGTTTCTATCAGCTGACGGGCAGCTCGTGCAGATTCCAAGGGGTTCGTATCTACAAAATATGTTTTCAATAAAAATTGTTTTAAAAATCTAGTTTTCCAACAATTTAAAATATGGCAATGGCCAATTTTTAACGTTACCCTTAGAAGCTTTGTCTATAAATGAAGAATAAATTAGATATCCATGTTTTTGTTTCATGTTTCCTTTATTTTCATTGCGGTTTCCTTGTAAAAATGACTAGCGCATTTCGTGTTTATAAGAAGCAAAGGAGAAATTATTAGAACTAAAAACTTTTCATGGTTCAAATGTAGGTTTTAAGGGTACCGTTGTAAATCGGGTATTGGAATATGGTTCACTTGAAATTACATTTACAGTCCTATTAACAAAACATTCACTAAACCCAAGTGGAATTGTGAGTTTACCCTTTTCTTACTGACGGGGGCCAGGGGAGGGGAAGGGGGGGTCCGGCTGCAGATTGCACAAATTATGTGAAGTTTTGCAATTTGCACTATACTCCTTTACAGTTAATTTGCACAGTTTTAGTTTTCTTGGTCATACACCATACTTTAGAAAAATTGTGCAAAAAGAACATTTAGAAATTGAAAATCAATAAATTGTCATTGTATGCGTAATTTTTGTTACAATTTTTTATTACGTAACTGTGTATTTTGGGTATCAGGAAGGTTAGTATGAATTAATAGGGAAATATAACTCTCATATTATATATCAATTTAAAAATATTGTTCTTTTCCACTTTTTTATTTTTTTTTGCTTGTCTGTGTGTTTGTATCCGCTAAACATCAAAACGCTTAACCAAACGTTCCAACTTTTTGTGGCAACTCAAATGACCCCAGAGAAGGTTTATGGATGATTGAAATGTCAACATTTATTATTTTTATAAAGGGTCTGTATTTTGAACATGAAAGGCCACCCGTAAAAAGCGAGACAGTAAAGACGACTGTACAGAATTTATTAAATGTAAAGTATCGAATCAACTTTTCAGCCTTTTTCACTTTGCTTACAAACAACACTTAAACCTAAACAATGAATCTGAATGAATACTGTCCAAAGTTTCCTAGCTTTTTTGCTTTTTTTTCGCTTCTGTTCTTAATTGGAACCGGATATTTCAGTGATTATAGACAAAATCGACCATTATAACAAGGGTTAAGGTCGTCATTATAAAGTCCCAATTTTTATGGCTAACCCTGTACAGTGAGCCCCATAAAACCCTGGAATCGGAAGACGACATTTAAGTAATTTTATGAAGCAAATAGTTTTACTTCTATAGCTAGAAAATAATGTAAAAAATGGGTCTATCACACAATTGATATTTTTAATGATCCTTTGGCTGTCTAAAATCATAACTTGAGTCTAAAAGTCGCCTTCCTATTTCATCGCTTTTTGGGTCTCTTCGTAAATAATATTTCTTATACCTGATATTACAGCTCAGGAGCTCGTCTGATCCAACAGGTCATTTTTACATTGTGCATTTCAAATTCAATAAATATTTTTACTTTTATTAAATAAATGGATAAGTGCGACCAGTTGAATCAGACAAAGCTGTCCCGTTCTATCTCAGGAGGAAAAATTTTTAAAAATATCTTCATTAAAAAATCATATTTTTATGTGTTGTGAGATCCAAGACCTGTAGATTAAACTGGTTGCACCAATGGGGGCTCCTTACAGTGGGATCCAAAAAATGAGCAAACTTGTAAAATTAGGAAAAAATATAACTTTAGTCATGGTTGGTTTATTGCACCTCATTTTATTAGTTTCCACTTTACATTAGAATATGATATTGAGATAGAACAAAGATTGAAAAAAACTAAATTATCTTACAATAAATAATATTTATTTTGGCAAGAATTTAGACACTAGAAAGAATTATATTTGGGCCTCTAACTTTCTAAAAAAGGTGCCACCTCCCCTACAAGCTGTAGGCCTAACATCCCCCCCCCCTTCCACTCCTCATAACTAAAT